CCTCCAAGTCGACTTAGTCTCAACTTCCCTCCTTAAACCTCAAGTTTTTGCTGCTCCTCCTACTTTAACAAACTTCTCTAAAATGTACTCAAGTTTCAGCAAACTCGGGCAAAAAACATCAAACTCTCTCTCTCTCTCTCTCTCTCTCTCTCTCTCTCTCTCACACACACACACACACACACACACACACACACACACACACACACACACACACACACACACACACACACACACACACACGTGGGTGCATGCAACATCCAAAATGCAAAGCTGCACTCTCAAAATTAAAGCTGTTAAAATGGATTTGGGGCAGAACCATGAACGCAATAGCGTGCTTTAGGGGTGCGAATGCGGATGTGATTAGCAGAAGGCATTTGCCCAAATCTGCAGAACAGGTGGAAGAACTTCCCGAGAATATTTTTGAATGTGTTGAGATCTTTTGTGTGAGAGTATGGCAATGAAACAATATGATTTTATTATCATTTATCTTTGTTTGAAAATGTGTTTATCACAAATGATGTCACACTGTTTCACTCTTTTGGTAAGGAACCTCATAATGTCTAAGAAACAGGAGTTTAGAAGCCATCTTCAAACTGAAACATCACATTTTATATTGTTCAAAGGAAGGATTGTTCTTGAGGAAGACTATTTTTGTGCACTACCTCTCTGCTTAAAGAGCAAGTCACCCACCTCCGCCACAGTCCTACCCTGGCTACGTCATGGTCTACTGTTTTAGCCAATAACGATAGCCGTATCTAAATTAGAAGAGGGCTCTAAACTGATGGTTTTAGACTTAAATTTTAAATTTTAATTAAGATGCACTAAAATGCTAAAATAATGATTAGACACGTCCACTGAACATGACAGGCTCCATGAATTAACTAAATACGGCAACATCTTCTGGGAAAAGACCAATATGAGGAGACGGCAGGAATATGGAGTAAAATAGTTTATAATCTTTAAAATGGTTTCCAGGTCAAAACAGGAGATTTGACATTTGTCATCCTGAAATTGATTCGTTATTATTAATATCAATGGCATTGTCGATTCTGTTTATCGATCCAACTCTTTATCAATTCCAGAGTAGTTAAACAGGTGGCAAAAAAGTAATTGCGCATGGCTCCTGCAATATGACTGTCAGTTTCTTTATGATAAATAATCAGTTGGATCCTGCATCGGTTGGAAATATCTTTCTTACTGTTCTCCTTTATGGTCCCTGTGAAGACAGTCATCATCTTGTTCGGTGCAGTGTTGCTGTAGCTTTTGCAGAGTGGGAAAAATCTCACCACAGGTCAGAACTCTGTCACTGGAGTCTGCTAGTGTGGAGGTGTACATAAGGTAAACGACGCTACCATGATCGGCAGTGGTAGTTGATACCTGCAGTCAGTAGCGGTTTTAGGCACGGGCAGACAAGGCAGTTGCCCGGGGCGGCATTTTTTCATGACACAAAAGGGGCGCACAAGCGCGGAGTAAAAAAAAAAAAAAGGAAATCTGCGCCGCACCGAGGTTTTCTATTATCTGTCATATGACAGTGTCTGGATTGGAAACAGCAAGTTGGCGCCCCCTGCAGCTGCAGGCGCTCCTGCTGACTGAGAACGTTCACGTGCACCGTGTGTGTATGAAGAACAGGAAGGGGAGGGGTGCGGCGGGGGAATTCACCTCTGCGTCTTTCCCAAATGAAATGAGCGTGCAGGCTAAAGTCAATCACATCTTAACGTTCTTCCATATTTCATTCATAATATCATAAACACAGGCCTATCATTCTTTCAGGTTTCTCTGAATTGTGTGAAATGGCCGAATAAAAAAAGGAAAAACAAAACGATTTTGTGGTCACCCCCCCATCAAGGTCAAATTGTTTAGTCCTGACTAAAGGAAACTTACTGAGTCAGGAGCCAAACAGAAGAGATGAACATAAAAAGGCTAAAACCACCAGGTGCCCCATTCAGGGGGAAAAAAAGAAAAAAGAGGAGAAAGATAAAGGTATGTAGCTCTCATGATGCATGTTTTCAATTTTTCGAACCAGCTAACTGGGACTTTAACGGTTAAATTCGGTCAACTAGTTGCTAACAGAGCTAATAGAGCTGAAATATTGAAACGAATATTCAAATGGTTCGAAAAAAGTCCTTGAATCGTTTTTTACTGGTTCAAACTAGGATTTGTTAAATGCTCGCTGCAGCCTGTGGCCTGCCTGAACAACAACAAACACATGATGATCATGTTCACATAATAATAAATAAAACAACTGTACAAGCAGAAGAAAACTCCCCAGTCACCACCAACTATCCTGTTTATTTATTGCAGATGGCTGCACTGATTATTTTTTACATGATTTGTTCTGTAAAAGTTGGCATTTTTGGTAGTCTACAGTTTATTTTTATGCCAGTTTAAATTACAATTTCAGAGGCCATTCTAAAATATTATGGATCATGATAAAGATCTATTGGAGATCTACCCCAACTTTTGGACTGCTCTGCCAGTCACTGTGGCTCCAGCTGAGAGGAGCTTTTCAAAACTTGATCAAGTCATACCTGAGGTCACCTATGTTTCAGGGGCGGCTCACTAACCTGGCTCTGATTAGTATCAATCACTCAGTAGGGGAGCAGATTTCATATGATGACATTATTGATGATGTTGCATCAAGGTTAGGTTTTAATTTTAGTTTGTGTTTTCTGTTCTAAGTGCAATGCTGTAGTGATTATCTTTAGTTTGTTATGTGTTAAATATTTTTGCTATTTAGAATATTTATTATCTATGAAGTTCATATATTCTTAATATTTAGTTATTGTTTGTTTTTGTATATTTGATTCTATATATTTTGATACAGTATATAATGTATAGTGCTTTACATTCTGACAACTTCATAGTAATTAATGTAAATATGTGCAACTTAGAAAAATGAATGTTCAATAGTTGTTCTAATAAAACATGCCTGTTTGTAGAAAACATGCGTGTGTTCATGCAGGTGGGGTGGGATGGTGTGGTGGTGGTGGTGGTGGTGGTGGTGGTGGGGGGGGGGGCGCTCAAAGGGGGCCTCGCCCGGGGAGTAATTCGATGTAGAACCGCCACTGCCTGCAGTATTAACAGAAGACGTGCAAACATCACCGGTGCTGCTGCTTTGATATTCACTAGTCCAGAGCGGGTCAAAACACATCTGACACACACAGGTGACTTGTGTATATTCACAATGCTTCCTCTCTTGATGATATATCTACTTTGCAATTTTTACAAGTTACCCTGTTGTCATGCTTTCTTGTAAAGTTTAACCAAACTCTTGTGCATTTTTGCCGCTTAGACGCCATGTTTCCTGGTTCTGTAAGCTTCGTGATGTCTGTAAGTGCGTGATGATGTCATTCGTGCCGACTGGAATTGATAAGGGGAATCGTTTTCAAAAGTGTTAAACAATTCCTAGGAATTGAAACAATGGTAATCGGTTTTTGATTCCATCACAACTCCACCTCTCCTGCAGCGATTCCACTGAGCGATCTCTGTGTGACTTCTTGTCTTCTTCTGCGCATGCATGCAGGCCACTTTGGAGCCAGGAACTGTTCACACTGGAGATTGCTGTCGCATTTCAATTATAATGTGAACAACCACACAGAAACGTTGGATTTAATAAAGTATCGGAATTAAGTATCACGAGCTGCAGTGTGAAGGTACCCTTATTTCCTGATATTTGTGAATCTTGCCTCAGATTGGATGACAGCAACAAGACTTTACCACTGACTGTTTTGCAACATTGATGTTTTATCTCCACAAATAACACGAGCCTGAAGGAGTTCTGCTGTGAGGTGGGGTTGCTAATGCTAAAGGTTAGCTTTTACTAGCCGAGTCGGTCTGTGCTTTTTCCTGGAAGCCAAAACAACAGCCTTCCCCGTCGCGTGTCAAGATGGGTGAGTCCATGAATGTTGAGTGACAGTGTGACGTAGATCTGTCGAGCTTTTCAAATCCTGGCTTATTTTCTATCAGAAGCTTATGCAGGAAACAGGTGTAGAAGACTATTTTCATGTTCAACTCAAAGATAGATTATAATCAGAAATAATAATTAAATGCTTTTCTTGTCTTTTCAATTTTTAATTAGAAAGCATGCAAAACAACCGTGATCATAATAGGAACTAAAATAAACATCAGTAGGATTGTTTTTCGTTAACAATCAAACAACCCTAACTGTAGATCTAATGGACAATTTAGTAACCCAAGGAAACAATCCATCCTCACCTGGCGGTTGCCAGTGGCTGTACATTTGAGAACGCTATTTTATTTTTACAATAATACATTTTGGTGATGCTATGCTAAATGGGGAAGTGCCGTGAAAGAAGACTCCAGGCATCACACCAACATCAAAGAAATTGAACATGTGGTCTGAAGGACTCAGTCACAAACACAAATCTAAGTTTCAACATTGATGCTGACCAAAATGAAATGAGATGGACATCTTTGGAAAAATACATTCAATGATTCATTCGTTCATGTATATGCTGGTTAAAACAATTCATTTTTAGGTGATTTAATATCTGCTGAAGTGAGTCTTTACAACCACTAAACATCACTTAGATGGGCAGATCTCACCGTACTATTATCAGATTATACACAGTGTATTACTGTTGAGAGATCTCTCCTCAGGGACTTTGTAGACACATTACTTATGTAGTATCTGCAGCTTGCTTAGAGCATCAAATAACTCCTAATGATTGCCTCATGAGACGTGTTTGCAGGCTCAACAGTTCCACTGAGGCTGTTTGCTGAGAGTGACTCATACATTCATGTACATGATCATGAAGACATTTGTAAAAGTAGTCCCCCTTTAAGGGGGATTTCCTTTTGCCTTTTATTCTTTCTGGCCAGTTTTCATAGGATTGTCGTCTGTATAGCCTAATCGTTATTATGTAATCTATTCTGCTTCTGCAGAATACATTACTCTAAATACACTTAATTCAAAAAGCTTGAACATATTTGCTGAATGTAGGTTTGAGCTTGGCAATCAAGCAGAGGCATGAACACACCTGCAGGTCTGGATCCTCTTCATGCTGCAGATGGGCTTCCTCAGCTGCCTCGACCAGTCTCTGCAGAAATAAAAGACAGAAATAACAGTTAAATGCTAGCTGAAATGACTTCTGTACTAAAATAATAGTCAGTGTTACTTTTATTGGTAAAACTAACATTACAGTCAGCTTAGCAAGCAGCTCTTGGCACCAGAGCAATGCTATAATCCCTCAGGAATCACACAGAGGGCAGATAAACATTTGGTCATCTCGTATAAAATGCCATTTTCTTAAACGCATCAGACAAGGAGGTGATAATCTCTCACACACACTAGCAAGCACACAAGAAGTCATTTCATTATCAGCCTATTGCATGTACTGGCTGCTGTGCGTGCCTGCAGGGTGGTGTTGGTATCTTGTTGCCTTTGAATCAGCATCCTTTTTTTTCCCTTGGTTTATTTTTACCTTTCCTTTTTTATGAGCGCTAAAATTTATTGCAGTTTTATTTTCTTTTATTTCGGATACAAGAAACATGACATAGCTGTCCCCAATGATGGAACATTTAAACCTGCATCAGAGGTGTGCTTTACAATTAAATGAACAATACAGAAGGAAAACAAATTTTAAAGGTAAATTCAAAATGTTATGTGAAATTTTTTGTTGCATGTTTTATTGTGATGCCATTTTTTACAGTTTAGATCTTTGTTATTTTAAAACATCTGTGTCACTTTATGCCACTTTACAGGATGCTGAAGTCATTAAAGCTTTACTTCTCTTGGTGCTCCTTGATTTGGGCTTTTCATCCTACAAGGTCAGAAATGTCCCTCAGTGTCAGCAAACTGCAGATCTCACTAAAATATCTATACGTGTATAGGTTTTACATTATTGTCCACGTTTCTCTGTTTTCTGTTTGGCTGCAGACGTTGCCCCATCCCTCCATGTCATTGTTTATGATAGGTCAGCCACGAGTCTGATTTAAGATAAGATAAGAACAACTTTATTTATCCCGAGGGAAATTCTTGTGTCATGTACATGCTCAAAGCAGTAGGAGAGACAAAGGAACAGGTGAAATAGAAATATGATATACAATATATACAGTAAAAAATGATCTACAGTAGTACCCTGTAGGATAGTGCAAAACAATCGGATAACTCAACAAATAAATACATGACTGTATCCTGGTGAATAATTAATTAAGCCGTCGGTGCAGGCGATTCACAAAAGTGAATAAAGTATTGTGTAATAGAATTAGGGGTAGTAGCAGCATATGATATGATGGGGGGATAAAAACATATTGACAATAAGAACTCTTGCACTGTAAACCCGAATAAGTTCCCAGAACTCAAAAATTGTGAGGCAATCAATTGCCTCAATTTTTTTGAGTTTTGATACTGAAAATTTTAAGTTTTCATAAATAAAATGTCTAAATAAATTTTACTCATACATTTGAAGTTTCTTAAATTAAAATTGCTTATCCAATCAACTCAAAATATTTTTGTTGCCACTCTGCAAACCAAAAAAGTTCCCAAAACTCAAACATTTTGAATTGCAAAACAAAATATGCTACGTCTTTTGAACTTAAATTTATTAATAAATTCTACTCATAAACCTTGAGTTAGATTAAATTAAAATTGCTCATCCAATCAACTCAAAATATTTTATTTGCCACACTGCAAACCAAAAAAGTTCCCACAACTCAAACATTTTGAATTGCAAAACAAAATATGCTACGTCTTTTGAACTTAAATTTATTAATAAATTCTACTCATAAACCTTGCGTTAGATTAAATTAAAATTTGTTATCCTTTTAACTCAAAATATTTTTGTTACCACACTGTAAATCAAATAAGTTTGGTTAATCAAAAATTTTGAGGCAATCAATTGCCTCAAAATTTTTGAGTTTTGCAACTGAAAAATTTAAGTCTTCAGAAATTAAATTTCTTAATAATTCTACTCATAAACTTTAAATAAAAATTGGTCATCCATTTAACTCAAAATATTTTAGTTGCCAGCATTTAGTTTTTTGTTCAATTAATTGAGAAACTTTCATTTACCAATACTTAAAGGAGTGGCCTTTCATTAACACTGTAAAGAGTTGTTTTAGCACATACTGGCTCAAAAAAATTATACATTTGCAAATTGTCCCTTTATAAATATTTGTTTTTGTAATCCAGGTGATTATGTCAACAGAACTTTGAAAGATAGTTAACAGTTTCATAAAAATAAGTACTAGACCACATGATTATAATGTTAACTCAACATTTATTATTTTCAGTTGTCCTTGCTCCAAGTGCAAAAATGTCAATAACACTGACTTAATACAACGTATGGCACATGACTCAAAATTTAAAGATTTTGAGCAACTGACTGCCTAAATAAAATGAATTTACAAGGGAAAATGGAGCATCCTTTTTACAGCAAAATAAATATAAATAAAAGTATAAATAAAATAAAGAAAACTAAATATTTATTGAAAAATAACTTCGAAAGGAAGGCTGCCAGAATTCATTAACTTAATACTTGCCAATTCAATATTTTTAAGGTCAGATTAAAACAATGTAGTACCAAGCAGCTAACTTACATGAAAAATAAACAGCAATAAATACTGAAATAAAAAATAAAACCAAATGAAATAGTTACAGCAATAAACCAATGTCAAACTAAAGAGAGCCTTGGGATTCTAACTATTACCAAAGTAGAGCAAGAGATCAACAAGTTGGATCCAATTCAAAGGTTTTAACAGATTTACTAAAAACAATTCTTAATGGGTAAAACTTTACCTTCACCCCTTCACCCATCACTTTTACAAATGATTGATCAGGTCATTCTTACCCATTTGTTACCTGGGTGACAGTATACTAGACCACTTAAAACCTTTTGAACATATTCCAAAGTCATAATGAAATCAACTAAATATCAACCTGGCCAAAGTTGGATAAGAGATCAACAAAAGTTAAGACTTTAAGAACGTCTGACGTTGAAAAGCCTATAATGTGAATGCATTATATTTATCAAAAACATTTCTAAATGGGTAAAACTTACAACCATTTCTCATTTATCTTTTAACAACAATGGAACTTTGTGTATTTGGGCTTACTGGCTACACACCTGCAGAGCAGTGCTGCAGCTTTAAAAGAATCATGTAAAGACGACAGTTTTCACCTCAAGGGGAAATGCCTTCCCACCTTAACCCATCACCTTTACAAATGAATGGTCAGGTCATTCTGGAGCGTTTGTAACTTGGGTGACAGTTTACCGTCTTCTAGACCAAGTAAAACCTTCTGAACAAATTCAAAGGTCATGGCAAGTGATTTAGGATACCTGAGGTGTAGAGCATAAATAAGTCCAAACATAGTCACGAAGGCCTCAGAAAACCTGGAACAGCTGAGAATGACGTCACTTTCAATCACCACTGAGACTTTCACAGGCTGATAGTGGACTGGATTTGTGTCCTGGTCACTGATGACAGTGAGAAGGGCCACTGCAACATCTTCCACATGTGGATCATCTGATGTGTCCTAAAACAAATGAAAGGGAAAATCAAACTCCATGGATGAATAATGCATTTAACATTTTGTTAAATATTCGACGGTGGCACAGGAGTTAAGTGCTCGTCCCGTAATTGGAAGGTTGCAGGTTCGCGCCCCGCTCAGTCTGTCGCTGTGTCCTTGGGCAAGATACTTAACCCACGTTGCCTGCTGGTGGTGGTCGGAGGGACCGGTGGCGCCAATGCTCGGCAGCCTTGCCTGTCAGTGCGCCCCAGGGCAGCTGTGGCTACATTGTAGCTCATCCCCACCAGTGTGTGAATGTGTGTGTGAATGGGTGAATGACTGTGTTGTAAAGCGCCTTGAGGACTCTAGAAGGCGCTATATCAAATACAGGCCATTTACCATTTTAACATTACATAAGCGGTTATTTTGGTCTCAATAATATCGTTTATCGTCAATAATTTGTTGGACAAAATATCGTCCAGCAACATTTGTTATTGTCCCAGGCCTAGAGTGACCTATCATATATTTCAAGTTTCTCAGTAAACTTGTTTTTTAAGAATAAAAATACAAATCTGGATCCACACAATGAATTGAGAGAAAAAACAATTATTAATTCAGTTTGTATGCTTTAAAGTTTGATTGATTTACCAAAAACTAATTTTTTATTGATTATTTCTGATTATAATCAGTTTCGTGCAGGCTGAACATGAAAATAGTCTCCTACACCTATCTCCTGCATTAGCCTCTGATAGAAAATAGACGGTGACACTTCAGAATTAGAAAAGTCTGACAGATCTACGGCACTGTCACCAACATTCATAGACTCACAACGGGAAAGGCTGTTGTTGGTTTAGCCTCTAGGCACAGCAGAGAATGTATCAACTAGAAAAAGATATCCTTTAGCATTAGTAACTTCACCTTATGGCAAAAGCTCCTCCAGGTGTTTGTTATTTGTAGAGATAAAACATCAGTGTTGCAAGTCAGTGGTAGAGTTGTGTTGCTGTTAATCAGAGGTGAGATGTCCAAATATTATTAAATGACACTCAGTAACATACTGTCTGAAGCTCAGCTGTGATGTGGACAACACAATGTGGTCCTTGAAATGGTGCACCAGTATATTTTTCCCCTGGGGAATGACTTACAAGGCCTTTATTCTTACTAGAGACCACTGCAGATCTATTGATTAAACAAGTGTTTTACTCCTTTAAGCAGGTTAGTATTTTCAATGTGCTCTTTACCTAATACACTGATGTAATGTAATTATTTAATGACACTTACTGGGCAGGTTCTGAAAAATCCAGAGACATCCTCACGCAAGTATACTGGTAGGCAATGGAGAACTGTGGTTCGTCTGGTGTGGATGTCATGGAACTCCTATTTAGATCAAAAACAGAAGTGCATCTTCTGAGCTAACAGTAAAACAATCCAAATACAACATATCCACAAATAACATGTCCATATATTACACAAACTAAAAACAAAAGTACAGCAACAAGACCTGAGACACTCATTTAATCAATACATTTTCAGTGGTCTGAATAAATGCCTGAGGAACTAGCATATTGCCACATCAAAGGGGCACTGAACACAGCAGGATTTGGAGCCTTATTTGTTGATATTTGGACATCTCTCCTCTGATTGGATAACAGCAATGTGACTCTACCACTGACTGATTTCTCTGGAACATTTATGTTTTACTTCCAAAAATAACACAAGCCTGCAAGTGATCTGCTGTGTGGTGGAGTTGCTAATGCTAACGGGTAGCTTCTACTAACAGAGATGTTCTCTGCTATTTCCTGCCTTGCCCGTCGTAAATCAAGATGGGTGAGTCCATGAATGTTAGTGACAGTGTGACGTCAATCTGTCAGGCTTTTCTAATCCTAGAGTTTCACTGTCTATTTTCTATGAGAAGCTAATGCAGGAGATAGGTGTAGGAGACTATTTTCATGTTCAGCCTGAATGAAAAACTTAGAGTGACCCATTATAATCAGAAAAAAAATCATTAAAAATCTTGAATTATAAAAACCAATAGTCTCCTATTCCCATCTCTGTTAACAAAAGTTAACTTTTTTGCGTATTTACT